AAACATTTATTTTAAAAAGGCAAAATCAGGACAGAATTCAGAATCCCTCTGCCTATTCCTCTTCTATTCCATTAGGGTACATCTGCACTGCATGGCTATTTCAAAATAAACTTATTTATTAGCTTATTAGCTAATTTTGAATAGCTTACTTTGAAATAGCACATCTACACTGCAGAGAAGCCTCAAAATTAGTCCAAGGCAGGCTTTCCTAATGTAGATGTGCTATCTCGATTTTGAGCCCCAGGAGGCACTGGGGAGGAATAATTTAGAATGGCCCTAGTGTGGGGCTATTTTGAAATAGCAGAAGTGGAGCGTCTAACCATGCCTTGTTTTGAAATAGCTATTTTGGAATAAGCATTATTCCTCATATAATGAGGTTTATAGATTTTGGAATAAGCTGTCTGTTATTTCAAAAGTATTTCAGAATAACAAAATGGCTGTGCAGATGCTCACATTGTTATTTCAAAATAATGCTAGCTATCTCAAAATAACAATGTAGTATACGCACCCTAATTATATTCCATTTACTCATTAGGCTAAAAAGGTAAAGTTGACCATTGCCTGTGGCTATGGGATGTAGCTCTTGTACACATGGTTGCCAATAGCAAGTGTGTGACTTTTTCTGTTTTTCTGTTTACCTTAATGGCACGTTGTGTTGCTGCTGCTAAGTTTTGCTATGTTTTGGCGAGTATTGTGATGGTGAGGTATTCATCTGCAGCTTGGATTAGGAAAGTTTCATGAATGCTCCAGTTTCATTATTGCTTTCAGAAAAAATGGTTTGTCTGGGGGTTTGGTCCATGTGGAAGTTTCAGTCCTGTGAATTCAAAACTATGAAATTCACACACAACCACTTCATAGCCCCTAAACCAAGCCCCCTATTTTAAAGTGCCTGAACCTTTTTCAATATCCTGAGGTGACTGGTCTCCTTCAAGATTGACAGGCTGTCTGTTCCTTCATCTCTGGGTGTAGAGAGGTGATTATGGACACCAACTTTCCTTACATCAATAGTTGGCATTGCATCCTTGAGAACAAGAGGTGGTGAGACACAGAAGATTCAATGAGGAAGGAGTGGAAAGTCTGGGTTACATTATCAACCCTTAAATTACAGCAATCCAGGTAGGTAGAACTTGCAAGAACCTGGGTTAATGATTCCACTAAGAAGCTGAATAAACACTTTTTTGTTTTATATATATATATATATAAAGCACTCTTATCCAAAGTACTTTACAATAGTTCGCTCATGATACAAACAATATTTGGAAAGTTCATTAACTGGTCCACTGAGACCCTCAGGAATTTTCAAGTGGTCTGTGAAAAAAAAGTTAGACTACAAAAACAATCAAGGTAAAGCACTTTGTTTTCATTTACTTCTTATTTCTTATAAATTAATTTGTTTATAAGCTCATGATACCATCTACATGTTTTGTTAGTATTTAAGGTGCTGCTAGACTACTGGATGTTTTTTAAAAAAATTTCAGTTGCAGACTACCCCTTTGAAACTAATTTGTTTGTAGTTCTAGACATCTTTCAAAGTGAAGTATCGGAAGGATAAATGCTGTACAAGCTTCCCCACAGAGGGAACTGTGAATAGGGCTATATTTTCCAAAGAGTTCAGACTATTGGGGCTGAGCTCCTGGAACTCTGGACCACAATGAGCATCATAATGTGCACTCTTAATTTAATTGATCTGTACACTGATGGCCCAAATCAAATGATCCTCAGTACATGAGTCCTACTCAGTTCTCTGCTTCCACCCATCATTTTTTGCCCAACCTCTTCTATGACTTATCTCCCAGGCACTGTCTCTTCAATCAGGGATACAACCCAGCATTCCACCCCTCTGACCAAAGGTTTTACATGAAAATTTCATTCAGCTCTACTCCTAATACATCTCATTCATGACTTGGCCATGCCTTTTATAAGTGGCCCTGGGACAAATATTCAGTCCAATCTTACCAAATTGTACCAAATGTGGTGATTTTGTGATACAGGCCAGTATCCATCAGAAATTAAGATTTTTATATTTGACTTCATAGTTTAATGTCTTGTTTTTTTTTGGGGGGGGGGGATTGCATGACAAGGGAAGAAGCTAAATGAGTGTAAAGGGGCAGCTGACCATCCAATTCTCAGAGTCAACTAACAATAATATTTAACAATTGCAAGGGTTATAGCATTTATTGGGCAACAAATAAACAACACAACAGGATTCAGAGTTTTAAACTTTGGAAAAACAGAACAGATAGTTGGGTGTTCCTTGCATTTTCATGAGCCATATGGATAGGAGCTGGAAGGAGTAGGAAAATAGGGTTGGTTGTCTATAACAAGTCCATTCCGTGTCACTTCCAAAATCTCTCACTAATTATGTATCTCCAGTATCTTGGCTTTCCACTACCATTTCCTGACTCAGTCAGTGGGCTGATGAAGACCTGGGGCTGCTCGTGGAACTGAGGTAGACTGCTAGTGAGTAATGTAATTCAGTGATGGATTACAAGGGTTAAGAAGCTAGACTAATTATGTAAAAGTGCAAGATGGAGTTCTCTTTCTGTCATGACATCAATAGCTTACCAGTGTGCTTTTCCTTAATTACCACTGTTACATGTCAGATAAGGTGTCAACACAATGTTATTATTATACAAAATCCTAGATCAATTTAAAATAGTTCCATGTACTTTTAAAAGTTATATAACTTCATCTTACCCAAATCAGCACTTCACATTTGCTTATCCATTTAAATCAGGGGTGGACAATAATCTTTGCATTGATTGGACTGGGGGTGGGGGAACGTGTGAAGCCTCCTCTGCTCTCTCTGCTGCCCTATGAGCAACGTGTAGCACTTTGAAGCACCGCACACTGCTTGTGGGGCAGGGGCAGAGCGGAGAAGGTTTCAGGTGTTTCCTCGCCCCCCGGCCTTCATTGACCTGGGGGTGGGGGAGCAGTAGGGCCTCCACAGGCCGGATCCACCTACTTGGCAGGCCGGATCTGGCCTGCGAAGGCCCTTTTGCCCACCCCTGATTTAAATGCATATTGTTTAGCCACAATATTAATTTTTGCCTGATCATATGTAAGCAGAGTCTGAATCAATGCTTCCATTACAACCATCTGGAATGGGAAAGAAATCCTGGGTGTGGTTATATAAATACACTTCATTCAGGTTGCTTAGGCCTGCTAGATATTCAATGATTAGAATGATGTTTTGCCTATTGTAACCAATTTGGCTGTTGTGGGGACACAAACTGTGCTAACCCTAAATACAGGAATTGTAAGATATGACCACAATGCTTTCAGTTTTTGAGAATGCAGAAAAGTCAGACTGTGTTTAACTCAGTTCAAAAGAGAGACACTTTCAGTGTAAAGAATCTCGGATGGACAAAGCTTCCTCCACCAGACTCTGTGAAGTCAACTGTGGGGAAAGGCAGAGCTTTGAACCAGCAGGCTGCATGACCTCCAGGCATGAGCTGTAAGAGTGGTTCAACCTGCTTCTCTTTCTCCACCCCCCTCCCAGCCCATTTTAATGATAGAACTAAAACAGGCTCTATACGGAGTCCCTTTATTATTATTAAAATTTTATTCCAGTGGTTCCTGGAATCTTTTGGCTAGACTGTGCTGTGGCCAAGAGCTGAAATCACTGAGAGCTAAAATCACTTAATTTGGCCCAGAGCCAAATCCATCACAAGGGCAACAGCGAGGAGCGGCCGGTGGAAATGGCAGCAGGTGGCCGGCAGGAATGGCTGGCAGGTGGCTGGTAGGAGCAGCGACAGGTGCCTGGCAAGGTGGCTGGCACGAGCAGTACGTAAGGGGCATTGCCACATGTTCAATGAGGAGAGACGTCATGATGATATACCTATGAACTCTGGGTCTGCACTGACTGGACAGAGCTGTGTGTCTGGTGTTTGAAGTGAGGGGAAAGCACAGTTTATGAGTTGGAGGTTGGACTAAAGATCTTTAAGCAAAAGACTCTGCCCTGTGGACTCCGGGGATGGTACGGTACTTATGGGTTTTCTTTGTTTATGTGTGTTCCCGTAGGTTGATGCTAGATTACTGTTATTAACATACTGTTTCTGTCTCCAACTCAGTGCTTGCGAGAAGGCAAGAATGGCCTCTAAAGGTGCCCAGTGGATAGGCTGGAATCTTTCCAGTTTACTGGATGTGGGCTCGAGCCAGTTTGGTTACATTGTTAAAAGAACCCCCCTAGCTACTGAACCCAGCTTTTCTAGCTGCCAGCAGGGATTGGCAGTCAATCAGACATGGCATGTATGCTCTCCACATGGGCCCAAATCCTACCAAAAGCATAGGAACCCACCACTTTCCATATTTTCAGCACAATTCCAGTGGATGCATCGTTTACCATGTCATGTGAATGGGTATATTATATTTGACAATCTCCTGGGAATATTGTGTTTGCCTCATCTCCCAACACATTTTCCAAGGGGCTACCCTGCAGGAGCTGCTGTTCAGAAGCATCAGTAATACCAATCTTCCTATAGGGCAGTTGAATAAAAGCAAAGCTCCTATTCTTGCTGCCAGCTTGTGGTGCTATAGAACCCCTCTGCACTCCTCTATATAATGTCTAACATGGAAGGCTCAGAGTAAGTGAATTCCACACCAATTCAGAGTAGAGTGATTGTCAATATCATACAAGGGATTATCTGAAGATACTTCTGTAGATACTGGAAGAGACCTTTGTGGTCACAGAATGAGGACTGATGAAGATAGGTGACCCAAACCTAAAAAGCAAATTTGCAAAACAAGCCCAGGTTAACCCTACTAGTCTACCTTAATCACAATATCCCCACAACCAATTTTGTACTTCTATAGCACTTTCCATCTGAGGACCTTAAACAATTTGCAATTATCAATAAATTTAGCTTTTAACCTACTTATAAGATCCCTATTTTACAAACATGGAATTAAAGCACAGAGAAAGGAAATGATTAGCCTATTGTCACATAGGGAATGTATGGCATAAAAGAACTCAGGCTTCTTGAATCCCAGTTCTGTACCTTGTCTTGGAAATTGTCCATCCTCCACTTGTTGCAGGGCTCTTCACTCTCCTCCACGTGAATCCAAGCCGTGGTCACAATTGGATCTTTTCTTCCCTAAGGTAAAGTAATTGGAGAAAAGAGCAGCAGAGCTTCAACAGCAGTTCTTTTTTATTCTATTTAGGTTCTTATACCAGGCCCATCACCATAGCATATAAATGTCTCCATGGTAATAAAAATTTAAATGTGTGGGTTCCTCTTGTGCTGCTGGGTTGAGGAATAATGAGAGAGCTCTCTTGCATGTGGCTTACTTACAGCATCAGCTTTCACGCAACATGACAGCAGTGATTTTGCAAGTGGGTCAGTGTCAGTCACATGACTTAACAAAACGTTTGGTGTATTCATGTGGGCATGTGGAATTTTTTGACTTATCAGCAGTGCACTGTTGATGTGCCATGAGAATTATTCTGATTGGAGAGATTCCTTCTATGAGAACATGTGATACAGCTCAAGGTTAGGGTTTACGAAAGTGCATAACTGACTTAGGAAAAAAAGGCCCATGAAAGCCACCAAGATATGTGTTCCTAAGTCACATGAGCATGTTTGAAAACTGTATCCCTGAATGGCAAAATATCTGTCCCAGAGAATGGTGCTAAGATTCAGAGTTTCAAAAGTCTTTCCTAATGACACACAGAGTGGGATTTTCAAAAGTACTGGTTAGGTGCAATGTGAATTAAGTTCCTACCCTGCTTATGTGCTTTTTGAAAATCCTACTAGGCCCTTGTGTGCATGTTTAGATGTCTAAACCCCTTTGAAAATTTGACCCTAAGCAACTGTAACAATAGTTTATTCTAATACTTCTTTTTTTTAAGTTTTTCCAAATTTTAATTAATTAAGCCTCAGAGCTCTCCAGTGATGGTAATATTATTAAACCGATTTTATAGATAAGTGAATGGAAAAGTTAATTGACTTCTTTAAGGTGAGACAGCAAGTCAGTGACAGATACATGAAGACAATTCAAGAATCCTGACACCTGACACCTCCACTATAGTCATTAAACCAACACTCCCTCATTAGCTTTGTGCAGGCATGAGGCTTTTTATTTAAGTTTTTTAAATCTAGTCTGATTTCTTTTTTATCAAAGTTGAAGTACTAGTGAGTCTCTTGTACTGAAAATGAAGAACATATCTGACATTCTGGGAGATACTGCTCTTTGTTATAAGAAATCTACAGGTTACATGAATACCTCAAGGTGGTGAAGTGTGTCAAGCTACAGGCAGTTGATAAATGGTATATCATTTTGGGATGATGACTAACTTCTTAAAAATACAAAACTGAATGCTTGTTAAAGGGTTATCGGTATTTAAAATGACATTTATTTAAAACAATTAAAATATTCCTATTTACAATTACAGGTTATACATTAACATTACAGTACTGCTTTCAGGATACAAAAGTCCTATAATCTCTCCTCTAGCAGTGATGTTCTTGAATAGGATTGGGATGTCAAAAATGTGTGCTGTGTTCTCAGCTCTCCTTCTGACTTGATGGGTGGATTTCATTTAAGCCCCATAAAGCGAATGTAACCAGCATGTATTATGGGGGGAGGTTGGTGAGGTTAAAATCAGTCTCTCGGGCTATGTATACACTACAATGATCTATTGGAAAAAGGTATGCAATTTGCGTAACTTTTTCCTATAGTTTTTTTGGAAGAGGCTTTTCTGAAATTTGGCCCGTCTACACTGGGCCAAATTTTGGGAAAGCCTCCTCTTTTGGAAGAGCCCTTCTACCTCTTGGGAGGAGGAAGACAGGGTTTTCGAAAGAGCACGTCTGCTCTTCTGCAAAAAAAAAAAAAAAGAAAAAAGAAAAAAGCGGAAGAGCAGATGTGTTCCCTGGATGCAGCTGAGTTTTTCTGGAATACTTCCCCAGACTATACCCTGGATCAAATCAGCCCCAGACTAGACCCTGGATCAGATCAGCAGCTACGGCATCAACCTAGAGGTCTGTGTTCAATAGTTTCAGAGGGTTAATGTTTTTGTCATGTGGCATCCTTAAGCTATGCAGGAGGAGAGGTCCTGCTGAGAAAGACTGCAGAAGGAAGAAGAAAAGCAGGACTGTACCTCATTTTAGTTATCCAAACTTCACTAAACCGGAACTCACCCCCTCTTTCAGAAAACAGATGGTTTCACATAATTAAGTTTCTCATGTTGACAAAAATCACCTTTGTTTTTTTTATCAGTTCCTGTCCCCTTCTCCCCTCTCAAATTGCAGCTATAGAGTTTCTATCCTTATTTATGATGATGCACAAAAAAATCATTTTAGGACAATATAAAAATAATTTATTTTATTCATGTTTTCCAGTTTATGACTGAGTATTTTAAGGTTACGGAAGAATGTGAATCAAAGTTCAGGTTTCCCAGCAAATTAGTACAGTATAATAAACTCAGTGTAAGAAAGACAAACTGAGCCAGCCTAGAAGTCAAATGAGCATGACACAGGCTCTGATACACGGATAGCCCTGTATTAATTTATAATAATTCCTCCAGCCAAGAGGTAGGTGTTGTGCTGATGGAATCCAGAAGAAATCAAGCAACCTAAGCTTCAAAGACAGGTAATAGAGAGAGGCTTTTGAAGAGGGTGATTTTTCAGAGCTCACATGTGGGTTAACCCTTCCATACTTATGGAAACTAATATACCATCTTCAAAAATAGACTGCCTAGATGTTGATCAGAGCATAGTGCTTTGTTTGTTTGTTTGAAATCATGCTTCATAACATAGGGTATGTCTAGACTACATGGCTCTATCGCCAGAGCCATGTAGATTAGTTTACTAGACATACCCAAATGAAGCAGCGATTTAAATAATTGCCACTTCATTTAAATTAAAATGGCTGCCGTGCTGAGCCAATCAGCTGTTTGTCGGCTCAGCACACTAGTCTGGATGCTCCATGGTCGACATCAAAGGCATTTGTCAACCGCTCCGTTATGCCTCGTGGGATGAGGTTTACTGGGGCGGTTGACAAATGCCTTTGATGTTGCACACGGAGTGTCCAGACTAGCCCACTGAGCTGACAAACAACTGATCGGCTCAGCGTGGCAGCCATTTTAATTTAAATGAAGCGGTGATTATTTAAATCACCACTTCATTTGGGTATGTCTAGTAAACTAATCTACATGGCTCTGGCGACAGAGCCATGTAGTCTAGACATACCCATATTGTGGAGACAGTAGATAGAGGGAAGCCCAGTTCACACCAAAACTCCCAGTCTCACCCTTCCTTTTTACTTGAATTCTAAAAGTAAAAAGATTTTACTTACCTTCCTTTATTGTGGTATCTAAGAATTAGTCTTGCAAGGTTCTGAGAACTTAGATCCAATAAGGCAAAGAACTTTAAGCACATGTTAAACTCTGAATATTTTCTCTACAGATTCAGTCAGGACCTGTCGAGTTTTGTTCTCTTCCTGTCCAAAACTGTTACATTACTGTGAACAGCTAATGTTCAGTGGGGAATGAGGTGACCACAGAAAGTTTCAAATTTAGGTACTTTCATATCTATTATTCAGTGGAAATACTGCATATGCAGGGATAGCATATTGGATGATTTCAGATGAAGGCCTCTATGTACATGTAAATATTATTATTGAGGAAAAACCCATTGTCCTGGTAAATAAGCATTGTGTACTGTAGTTCTGTGGGATTTAGAGGGAATAGAAGCCTTCCTTCAAGTTGGTAGAATAACAAGTAACTTCTCTGAAGTTGTTACTGGACCCGAAGGACTATAATGGTAACTGCTGCTCTTGTGCACCAACAACTTGTGTGTGGAGTTGGGAGGAGGGTTGGCCTGTAGATCTGAGTAACTACCATGAACTATTGGCCCCTAACATTTCCTAATGCTACAACAGACTCCTGCAGAAGGAACAACTGTACGGGTATGTCTACACTAGCCACCCTAGTTTGAACTAGGGTGACTAATGTAGTCATTCGAACTTGCAAATGAAGCCCGAGATTAAAATATCCTGGACTTTATTTGCATGTTCCCGGGTGCTGCCATTTTAAATGCCCAGTAGTTCGGACTCCCTGCTCACGGCTACACACGGCACGGGCTAGGTAGTTCAAACTAAAGCCCCTAATTCAGACTACCATTACTCCTCATTGCATGCTTTTAATCCTGGGCTTCATTTGCAAGTTCAAATGACTACATTAGCCACCCTAGTTCGAACTAAGACATACCCTAAGTGATTAAAATCCTATGCACGAGGATCTCAATAGTGCTGTTAAGAGCTTTGGTATCCCAGACCCTAAGTGGAGCAGAGAGGGTTTGACTCTTGTCCTTCATAGTTAAGTGTTTATTATAATACAGCTTTTGTCACTTTGCTTTTTATTTGAATTTGTATTATGACTTGTTTCAATACAACTACTGGATGTGAAATTATTGACATGGTTTTGCTGGGATATTAGCTGGAATTTCTAAATTAATCAGAAATCTTAGTGTATGGGACCATTAACATTTTCTCCCATTTTAAGCACTCTTTAGAAACATTCATTTCAGGAAAAAAATTACATGTAAATAAAACCCAGGAATCAGAAAAGAATTGTGTTATTTTTATGAAAAAATCCAAGTATATTCACAGAGTTACTTTAAAAATATTTAAATATTAATGGGAAGACCTTGACGTCTTTACTCAATCAAGAGTTTTTTTTACTGCCAGATCAGGCCCTAAATGTATTATTCAGAAAGCTTACATAAGTCATATTTTCCCTATAAACATGAAAAACTTCTATACTGATTGTCTAACACACTATAGCTTGCACTATTTTATTATCACGAGTTATCATTAGAGACTACAGCAGTATTCTTTTTAAGGGTTATCAGCAAATGATATTTACTTCAATAACATTAGATCACCAAACAATAAAATTAATACATATTGAAGTTAAAATATTGACATTATTATTCTCGTGCTTAAAACCAGAAAATATTTTCTTTTTAGAATTTCTGAACTGACACAAATGCCTTTAAAAGGGTAATTAGTGACAAGTGACTAAGAAGGACCCTGTGTTGAGAAGTTGAGCCTAAGCCTCTTGAAGATTCTCCATGTAAACAAGTCAGACCACATC